CCCTAAACCCTATACCCTAGCCCTAAACCCTAAACTCCTTCTAAAATGGGCTCTCCTGCTTCTGCCAAGGCCTTCCGCAGGCTGGCAAACGTTTCACAGGGGCCCGGCTTCTTTTTGGGGGGAAAACTACCCTCCTGGCCTCTTCAGCGAGACATGGACTCTAAAACCTTCAAGTTTAGGATTTGGGGGTCTCTTTGTTTAGGGCTGTGTGGTTCTGGGTCTTGGGTCTAGGGTTTAGGGTTACCTGGACCCCAAAAAAACCTTCAACCCTAAACCCGAACGAAACCCGCAGCCGGGAGCCCTTTGTCCCTACATCGCCTCGTCAGGTCGGCCTGAAGTTACCTTCCTTTCCGCCTTTCCATACCGACTCGGCCCTTCGTGACGACACACAATAACAGTGGATTAGGGTTTAGGGTTTAGGGTTTAGGGTTTGGGGTTTAGGGTTTAGGTTTAGGATTTTGGGCTTACAGGGTTCGACTTAGGGTTTAGGGTTTAGGGTGCTTACAGGATTCGACTTAGCCATGTTCGTTGGGCATGACGCACCTAAACTCATTTCATATGCTACTGAAACTCCAAAGCCACAAAGTCCAAAGTTCCTGAACTGGGTAGTGCTCCTCCCGAAACTCTAGACCCTAAATCCTAAACCCTACATGCTTACTCTTCAGGACTTCCTATCTAGGAATCCTCCCTCAGAGATCCATAACAAACCCTCATTTGCGGATCCTCCAGTGTTTGGGAACTTCCCTCGAAGCTGCAGAGACGTGGACACACTAGAAGTCATATAGGAGCTACATGGACAGTTCCTATACGATTCTCCAAATTAGGGCCCTCTTTTGGGTCCTTTTCATAAGGGTGCCGTACTGCGTTGGGACCCAAAAAGGGACCCTAATTTAGAGAACTACCCATATGGGAACGGTATTGCAAATTAGTCCGCCCCCTCATGCTCTTGTTTTTCGCAACCGAGCATCTCTGGCTGTTCTTCTGGGCAATCTCCAAAGCCTGCTTAGGGCTTTCGGACCTTACCGGTTTAGTGGGAGCTAGGATTAGGGGGACCCTTAGGGATATAGACCCTCTCAATAAGGTCCCTTTTAAGAGAGCCAACAGTAGGGTTCAGAAGGGGTACCCCTTTAAGGGGTACCCCGAATAGTACTACCTATAAGCTAAACCCTAAACCCTAAACCCTAAACCCTAAACCCGCGTTTGTATCCAAGTGATCCTGCTAAACAGAAGGGCTTTGGATGGCTTTTTCGGGACCATAAAAGGGACCCAAAGCGGCTGACGAAGGAGGCCGTAGGTTGCACATTGAAGCCCGTAAACCCTAAATTGGACCCAGGGTTTAGGGTTTACAGTAGGGGTTTAGGGTTTAGGGTTTGGGCTGATGGGTAGGCAACTGCAAACGAAGCAACAAGGTTTCACACCAGGGTTCGAGGGTTGTTGTTGCGGTTTACGTTTTAGGGTTTAGGGTTTAGGGTTTGGAGTTTAGGGTTTGGGGTTTGGGGTGTAGGGTTTAGGGTGGTGTCTTATTGTTGAAGGCCTAGCGGCCTAGCAAAGGTTGTTTGACCTACATGCACAAACAAAAGGATTCAGCGACGACACCATCAAGAATCACAATCTGAACCCTAGACACCCCATGCCCTAGACCCTCACCCCATGCCCTAAACCCTCAATCCCGAAACTCGGAACCCGTCGTCCTCGCTGTTAAGTATCGAGGACAAGCTGAAGACACCGACACGCCGGGACCTCACAGCAGACGGCTCTCCAGTCCCTTTTGGGACCCGGGGCCTAAAAGAGAGAGGGCCTCAAATGACTGGCCTAATCTTGAAACCATAAACCCTAAACCCTAAACCCTAAACCCTAAACCCTAACCATTATTCAAAAGTCCTTTCCCTTGTAAGTATAGTTACACTCGAGGCCCTAAACGGTACAAGTTGTTCATGGTTTCCTCCTCGTTTGTATTCAGCCAAAAACCCCCCCGCAGCACGCAATGCTATTTTATATGTTGTTGCCAGCCAAAGGGGGAATGCTGGGTCCTTGCAATAATAAGGATCCGATGTTTTCAGAGTCGATAACAGGATCCCTTCCATCTGCAACTCTAAATTGCTACTCATGAACTCAAAGGGCGAACTTCAGGGTTTAGGGAAGTTTAAGGTTCAGGGTTTAGGAAAGAGTCACCTCTGCCTGCAACTCATGTCGGCAGCTAACTCTCGACCCTTACCATACGATACAATCTGCCACACGAGACCCTTAGAAGAGCCTGGTGGCAATTTTAGGGTTTAGGGTTTAGGGACATAGTAGAGGTACTTGGAGTGTCTAGCTGAACCCGTGGAAGCGTGGTGGCAGCAGAGTGTTCCATCAAGCGTTGTCAAGTGTAAGTGCAAGCACCGACTCACACTGACATGAAGCCGCAAAATCTAAACCCTGAACCCCTAAACCCTAAGCCTGAAAACGTGAAACCCCAAACCCTAAACCGAAACATCCACAAAACTGCACCCTAAGGGTCTAAGGGGGTTTGGGATTGCTGGGCTGCTGACCAATCGGTGGCGCCGACTGTGGGTTTCCCTGGCCCGGCGCGGAATCTTTCGCAAACAGCCGGTGTTTAGGCTTCAGAGGTTATAGGGTTTAGGGCTTAGGGGTTTAGGGTTTAGGAGTTGTCTAAGTTAGGGTCCCCCCTGTTAAGTCTCCAATCTAGTACGCCACCCTGAAAGAAAGGACCCTACAAGGGACCCTCATTTAAAGAACTACCCACATCGTCATCTTCAAGATTCAAAAAACTTTCTCTAAAAAAACTTGAACTAACAGTTCTTAGCTGGATATAACTGCCGGCTACAGGAAGTACAGTAAGGGAGCTCGAGCTGAATTTGTCCATAGAAGGTACTGTAGGGGCCTAAATCATTACCAATGCTATTTTGGGGGTCCCGTATTATAATTATAATATAAGAAGCAAAAAACCCTGTTCTACTTATATTAAGGCCCCTGCCTTATGTATAACCCGACGTCGAACACCGTGAGCCTTCAAAACTCCAGACCTTTCGCTTAAGAAAGAAGGCATCGCACCCCTCCCAGTAGGCGGGGAAATCCCCGCGGCTTTTGTCTCTCGCTGGATGGGTCAGCCATCCCCATGACCAGGCACCTTGTCCAGCGCATACGTAATGCCTGCAGCATCTTCTTGAAACGAGTCAAAGCCGAACGGAGCCATTCGAGCCATCGTAGCTGAACTGGCGTGGTGCCACCCTTCGTCCTGCGGTGGCCCCCCTTGCATCCTTTGCACGGGCTTGCGTCCATTCAGGAGTCCATCGCTGGGCAGTGATGCCAACGTGGCCTTCCGGCCAAAGTCCAGGCTCATTGCACTGTAACCCTAAACCCTAAACCCTAAAACCCTAAAACCCTAAAACCCTAGACCCTAAAGCAGTGGCTGTCATGAGAACCACCGTAACGGGCACGAAAGTGCCTTCGGTCTCATCACACACTGACAAAAGGCTGAGCATTGGGTCTGTTGCAGCATGACGAAAAGGGTACTATAGGGGCCTCCATAATTCGAATACGGTTTTGGGGGGTTCCTTATTACAGTTTTAGTAAAATAGACACCCAAACCCTATTCCAATTATTAAGGCCCCTATATTAGGCCTTTCTTGACATACCTTCCGATTGACCCAAACGAGGCAGGATAAGAAGAAGTAAACACCCCTGAATAGATGTCCAGTATTTTGCGTCTAAAATGTTTTCTTGATGCACTTGGACATAAATTCGAGAACTCGAGTGTTCCAAGGACTCTTGGTCTAAGGCTTTGGCGTTGCTGGCTTGGGTGCTTTCGTTCATACGTCTTTTGAAATCCACTGTGTCCGATCAAGCCCTTTTAACGACCTCAACGCAACCAACATAGAAACCCACGAACCCTAACCCTAAACCCTAAACCCTAAACCAACATAGAAACCCACGAAGATATTGGCCACTCCAGCTCTGAATCTCAACCCGCAGCCGCAACGAATCTGCAACAATGGCGGGTCATGGTCCCCAAACCCCTGAACCCCTCAGTTCGGTATAGGATTTGGGTTGCATATTATAGAGTTTAGGTCCTAGGGTATGGCCCAATGTAAAGCCCGGGGCAAAGGTTGAGGCTGTGACCCCTGAAACCGTGAGTTCGGTTTAGGATTTGGGGTTGCATATTAGAGAGTTTAGGGTCCATTATAGAGTTTAGGGATACATAGGGTGCAGGGTTTATGACTTATGACCCCCGTGACTGAAAGCCTCAAGACAGTAGGCAGTTGGATTTCGTCGAGACCCGAAAAAGCCACTCCCCCTTCCCCCGCAGCACCGCAGTTGATCACCGGCGACAGGGTAAAGGCGGCGGTAAGGACCGAGTCCGACCGCAAGCCTGCCCCAAAGCCGCATACGGTACTTGGGCTTAGGGTTTAAGAGTGAGGGTTCACTGATTCACGGCGAGTGTCAAAGTACAGGGTGTTGTTATGGTCGCGATGTTGATAAGGTGGTCACGTGGTCTCTATGGGCTTTACAAGGAGCTTGGGTGTTCATTGGTACCTGTACTTGTGGACACAATTGCGTTAATTTCAGGTACGTCTTGTCAACTTCCTTATCTACCTCACTTGCAACCATGCCGCTTGGAAAGTTGTCTTCTGGATTCGAAATGATCTGTACATTCCCATGATCGACTTCCAAACACCACCGGGAACCTGATCCAGAAGCACACCAAGCACTCCCCTAAACCCAAAGCCCCTAAACCCTAAACCCCCAGCCCTAAACCACTCCAACCTTCTTTCGCAAGCTGCCTACAGCTGCAACTTTGCGAAACCCGGCACATCAGACCTTCCTAAACCCGAATCGCCCGGCCCTACACCCTAATCCTAAACTGTCCTAAACCTTACACCAGAAAGCTAATCCCCAAAATCTACTCGTAAACCCTAATATTTTTAAACATCCTACAAAGCACAAGTTGAAATGCCTCCAGCCAGCCAATCCAAAATGTCTTCGCTGACCAGCTGCTCACGAGGCCTTGGGATCTCAGAGAGACATCGGTGGGGCAGAAGTCACATGTCCGAGCACTACAGGGGTTCTATAAGGGTAGTCTAGGCGTGCCATGAGCCTTCTAGAAAACGCATCTCAGGTTTCCATGAGCGCTCTGTAAACGGGCTCTATCAGTCTATAAGGGTTGTGCGTGTAAGTCTATAAGGGTTTTAAAAGGATACTAGATGAGCTCTATCAGCCTGCTAGCAAGGCTCCATAGGGGTACTATAAGGGTTTCTATATACTGTGTATTCTACAGGCCTTCTGGTAAGCCTTCAATGAATAACGGTTCTATAACCATTGCTGCGAATATCGTGTGGAAACCAGCACGCACATCTCTCCCTGGCCCCTCGCTCTCTTCGTCTCTCTGCCTGTCTGACTGTCTCTGTACGTTTGTTTGTGCGTGCTTGTAGCACAGACACACACATACACATATATATATATATACACACATATATATATACACACATATATATATATATATACACACATATATAAATATACACACACATACACAGCTTCAGACTCCTGAGCCACAGGCGTCCCAGAGCTAAATCTCAGCTCCGGCAGTGGCATGCCTCGCCCACCGCGCGCCTTGGGAATTCAGCTGTTGGTCTTTTCTTTAACTTGCAGGGGCCTTTTCCTCAGAGCGAGCTGCCTCATATGAGGCTTGCACTAAAGTGCGACCACAGAACAAAGCCCCCTCGATGTTGGGGTTTAGGGTTTAGGGTTTGGGTTTTAGCGTTTAGGGCTTGGGAATATCGGGGGAATAGGACTTCGTGTGGGTTGGGGTTTGAGGCTCTATATAGGTCTAGTTTCAAGTGCACGAAGCTGAAGAATCCGTTGAGTTTCAGAGATCGCGGCAGAGGTTCTACTGCATTTGAGCCTCGGGGTTTCAGGGCTTGGCAGCTCTATGGCTAAAAATTCAAGAAGCTAGTTAGGAATCCGGAGCATTTATGGGTGAATCCTTGAACACGGAGCCCTCAACTCCCCCGTAAGAAAGCTCAGCTATAGGGGCGTTGACACTCAGACTACATCATACTATATCAATGTATGTATGTATATATATATATAGAGAGAGAGAGAGAGACACGGAATCTAGGGTTTTTTTCTGAATATGTTTTCAGGCCCCCCCCCTTCCCCTATATGCTATAAGCACGGTTCCGGATTCTTGAGCTAAGACTTGCGGGGTCAGGGAGTCTAGGGGTCCTACACTGAGCGAGGGTTCAGGGTTTAGGGTTTAGGGTTCAGGGTAGGGTTTAGGGTTTAGGGTTTAGGGTTCAGGGTTTAGGGCTTAGGGTTTAGGGTTTAGGGTTCAGGGTAGGGTCTAGGGTTTAGGGTTTAGGGTTCAGGGTTTAGGGTTTAGGGCTGAGCGAGGGTTCAGGGCTTGGTACTGGTTTGGAGCTGGACAAAGGGTTCTTCTGTAATGTCGATCACATCATACTACTACGATTGAAGCTTGTGTAATTCGACTAAACTTTGGGGTGTCTCAATACCAGAATTATTTCAAGCCCATGATGGCTACAACTGCCAGAATGTCTATAAGTACATTCAACAATCCTTGCGAGGAAGAGTTGGGTAGTTGTCAAAATTATGGTCCCTTGTGGGGTACCCTAAATAATAGGTGCCGTATTATAATAAGGACCCCCAAACGGACCAAAATTTTGACAACCACCCAGTTGTAGACATCATCAAGGCCCCCTGTTTTACCCGAACATGAAGCAGCTCCCGCCTTCGATTCCGGGCGGCTGCGAGCCACAACCACCTGAAGGGAAGTTTAGGGTTTAGGGTTTAGGGTTTAGGGAGGAACCCTAAACCCTAAACCCTAAACCCTAAACCCGAAACCCTAAACCCGAAACCCTAAACCCTAAACCATGTCACCGAAACAGAAACCAAAGGGTCCTAAGTCCTGCATGGGGGATACTTGCCGGGACCAGACTAGAAATTCCTACTATAGAAACCCTACTCTCTACTATGTAGGTACTTAGGCCCCTTTGGGATAAGACTGTTTCACGATTTATAGTTCAGAAGACTGTCCTTGTTTTCTTTTGTGGAGGGGGGGTTCGGCTCCTTAAACTTGCCAACTTAATCTAGGTTTGACAATGTAATTCAGAAGGCACGGGCACCTCGTTTCCCTAAAACCTGAGGTTAGACATAAGGAATACACTTCCTGATGAGGAGCTCGTTGTCAAAATGCAAGTCTTACTTACAGATGTTTTGGGGACAACTGGCTAACTGCCAGTTAAACCCGAAACCCTAAACCCATAGTTGGTCTCTTGGACACTTGGAGCACAAGGATGACTTCCATGCCCCCACGGCTTGACGCCGCCCGGACCCGACCCCCCAAAGCCTGAGTTTCTGGGTATGAAGGGGAGTGCGAGGCGTCTGAATCCTAAACCTCCCGAAACAAAGAGTCCGCAAAACTGCGAACCCAACTTCTTAACACCCCAACTCGGCCTTGATCCACAAACCCTATATGGGTGGTTCTCTAAATTAGGGTCCCTTTTGGGTCCCCAATATAGTACGGAACCCTTATACAAGGACCCGAAAAGGGACCCTGATTTAGAGAACTACCTATATGCCTTAACTACGCTCCCAAAAGAACCTGGTCTTGGCCAAGAACCAGGGCCCGTGCACGCAGAGGGGAGAAGAAAGCGGAACAGGCTTCCTGCGCCAGTACTGCCTACCTTGTACCCGACCAAAGCCTTATTACAAGCTGGATCAAAAGTCTCTTACTCTAGCGAGCAAGCCTAGGCGAGGAAGGGGCTACACCGAACAAAAATGCATCACTAAGCTAAACCTACACTGCGGATTGGGCGAAGCTTTGTGTTTGCAGCTTACTCGGACTTGCGGCTCTTTAGGGGCTGGCCGGCAGAGTGTTAACCAAGTTCACGAGGAAGGATGCAAGCCAAGTGAGTTCGCATGCCTCACACTCTACAGCAATCAACATCGCCCGTATTTCTCAACGCCATCATAAGGATGATGATCATCATCACCATCGCCATCGCCGTCATCATCATCATCATCACCATCATCATCATCATCCTCGTCATCATCGTCATCATCATCATCGTCATCATCATCATCATCATCATCATCATCACCAGCACCATCAACATCACCATCACCATCACCATCACCATCACCATCACCATCACCATCACCATCACCATCACCATCACCATCACTATCACTATCACTATCACTATCCTCACAACCATCATCATGATCACCACGAACGTCATCGTCACTATGACTATCATGCTGTTCCGTTGTATGCTCTGTTTCTTCGTCACTGCCATCGTCACTATTGTAGCCACCTCTTGCATCATGAGCTCCATTATTTCTGTCATCATCGACGCCAACTTAGGCTTTTGGGTTCAGGGTTGCCATCAGCATACCTGAATCATAGAGAGGCCTTAATAATCAGAATAGGGTTTTGGGCCATTATACAATTATTATAACAAGGAACCCCCGAAACCCTATTCCAACTATTAAGGCCCTGATACTACCAACAGCAGCCATCGGCTCGAGAAGGATCAGGCTCGTGGATACACGACAGGAACATGAAGTGCCCGCTGGGAAGCACGCTGGAAACTCGGAAAATGACGAGAACACCGATATTCACCACTGAACCATGGGAGCTGTTTTGGAGAGTGCCTAAATTGTAACCCTTATTTTAAGAAACGCTCACATCCGAAACAACTACTCGGCAGAACTGATTTACACGAGCCAAGTCCCAGGCCAAACCCTACACCCCCAGACCCCAAAACCCAACACGAACATCTGCCTCTAAGCTACCCAAAGCCTGTAGACAAAAACTATACAGCACCAGCTGCCTGAAGAGCCTGCATCACCTTTGGAGCAGGCTCCTGTCATAGCCAGATGATTCGGGCGCAGGGTTTCGCTATGAAGGTGCTGCAAGCAGAGTGGAGGTTCACGCTTGCAGTACTGAGGGTGGTATCGGGTCTTACTCCCAAACACCCAAGAGCCTAAGTGTGGAAGTAATGCTGTGACCCCCAGCCCTTGGCTCAGAATGAATGAGACCCATGTGATTATTGTGCGCTGGAGGTTTGCGAGCGCCCACTTTGCTGAGTCTGGGTCTCCGATATTCCTTTTAAGGCCTCTGTGTTAAGTAGGAGTATGCTGGAGTCGAGAACTACTCATTAGCCGGTTTTAGGCCTTACACCCAAACCCTCAGCCCTAAACCCCAA